GAGGCAATAGGTTATTAGTTTTTATTATTTAGAGGTTGAAAAATACAATTTTTTTTCACTTTTTAAGTCTGGTTCAGCTTCATTTCATCTTTGGTTGTTTAGAGTTTTACGTAATGAAAAAATGTAGTTTTTTTTGCGATTTTTAACTTTTCATAAAGTGCCTTATCTTTTTGTTATTACTAATTTTTGTGGTGATTTTATTTTATTGTTTTCTTATTTGGAATATTTTTTGGTTATTTTCATATTTTTTATCTTCGGGAAGTTTTGTACATTATTGTTGTTGCTAGTATGAATTTTTTTTATAGGTTGTTGTTTTTAGGTAACCTTTTTTAATTAAGGTTTTTTCTGCTTTGTTTAATACTCTATTATGTTTTCGTTATTTTTTATTGTGCTAAAGTAAGTGATGATTTTAGTAGTGAGTTGGTTACGGTTTTTTTAAATGTATGTTTCTGCTTCTAATTTTAATGCTTCTATTAATGATACTAAAAGGAGCTGTAGACCTTTATTATTTCAGCGTTTGTTTTAGTGTTTTGGTCACCAGAGGTTTATATTATTTTACCTGCTTTTGGTATTATTAGAGAGGCTATTTTGCTTTTAACTGATAAGGAACGTTTGTTTGGTCAGGTTAGCATAACTTTTGCCTTAATTTGAATTGTTATTTTAGGAACTTCTGTTTGAGGTCATCATATGTATACTGTGAGGCTAGATATTGAAGCTCGTACTTAATCTAGAGCTGCTACAATAATTATTGCAGTCCCCAGAGCAGTAAAGGTATTTAATTGATTGTGTACTTTTTTTTGGCTCTCATCAGGAAATACAGCCTTTGCCATGTTGAACTTATAGTCACTTTGTTTGAGTACAAAAATGAATAAGTCGAATATTATCAAACAAGATTGATTTCAAAAAAGTATTTGATGCCTGGAAGAATTTACCATTATGATATTTTATATATATTTTAATCAGGAATTTTGCCTTTAGTAGAATTAAGTTTTATGTATTGAAGTACAAAATTTTTACGAAAATACATTAAAATTTTCACTTTTTGGATACTGTGCATAGTAAAATATAAGAAGTTCAATGTTGCGAAGTACTGTTTGTGAAAATGTTAAAAATTGCCTGTAAAAATTGTTTTTTAGCGAATGGGTAGATTAAAATGCAATCACAGAAGGCATTGAGAAATCTGGAAGTTCGATTTCAAAGTAAGTATTTCAGTCATTCTTCAGATGCTCAAAAGTCCACAAAAGATTTATAAAGCCTACTTTTTTATCGTTTAATTAATATCTAAATATTTGCATTATTCATCAATTTCTACTATCTGAGTACCTCAGATTAGATTTGTAATTTTAGACACTTCAGATATTATAGCAGCAATATCAATACGATTAGTTTCAGCTATGAAGCAGTAAGATTTGAAGTTAAAAACACCCATTGCCTTTTGAGAATTGAATAAGCAAGCAAATCTTGCGATTAACACTAGGATAGGTCTTCCATAACGGTTCCTAGAGGAATCAACGAAGCGCATCAAAACACAAGATGCGTACTTCGTACAA